ACTTAGTGGAAGCTCGGACCCCTTGCGTAAGAGTCCTGTGGCCCTAGCTTCGTACCGAGCTATACGTTGCATAAGCTACTAAAAGGGGTTCATACGGCAGCGGTTAAATATTAAAACCAATACGGTCCTTTAACATTACAGTTATGTACGTTATTACTATTCTTAGCAGGGATGCACCAACAGGATGTGGTCAATGCATCTAAGACTCCACATGGCTGGGCGGATACATTCGATCTTCTGGAACACCACAATCTTAACCAACTTTGACCTCTTATTTTTTTATGATTACCCGAAGCTATTTTTCCGTTTTCTTAAACGGCACCCCCCCCACCCCCCCCCCCCCTTTCATCTTACGTGTGTTGGATGGTATTCCTTGTCTCTTAGTAGGGGGTTTATCTATCAAACGCCTCTTCGATAAGAATGGCATACATTCACTTATGGCCCCTGCGGGCGTTTCCCTTTTCCTCATCGTTCTACAAGATGACATTCACCAGATCCATCAAATCACCCAGATCTCTGGTCAAGACAACCAGATCAATTGGATCAGCCCGATCATGATGACCTCAGAACGTAGAACGTAGGAAGGAGGATATCTATATAACTATAGCATCTCCTATGTAACTAGTCACTCTCTTCATAGGTTCTTCAGTTATCAATCTAAGACTATTTTTTTCACATGGAAGACATAGTGAGAGGACCCCATGCCCCTCTGACGAGCAAGAATCACTTTCTATTCACCTGACTTGCTATCAGTATTGCTACCTTCAAATCAAGAACCCCAGGATCACCGGATCCAGTAACGACTATACCCAGCCAAGATGTTCCTCGCAACCTGGACAACAGCATCCCTTAGCCCCCTTTGGGACTCATTGGTAGAACCGTATATCTCTCTAATGCAGTCAATGAGCAATTCACTGATCCGAAGCCCCTGGAGCTTTTCTTTGAACGCTTCGAGAGCGTGGGCTTTCAAATCATCCATGAGGAAGAAATCGGCTATCACGTACACGCGAACATGTTTTGCCAACTCGTCATCATCTGTACAGGAATCAGCCCCGAGCGGAATGCGGGGCAAAGCAGCTCGCCTTCTACTTTTCTTTTCCTCCGTTTTCGACTTGTTCCCTTCCTACTTTGAAGGTCATGAAATTCCGTTTTTTAATTCATTTTTTCTGCCTTTAGGGCTATTATATCAAAAGTAATGGTAGCTAGCGAAAGCATAAGCAACCATATAGTGGCTATGAAAGTTCCGATAGATATTGCCCCATTGGACCCCATATTTAAAATCATAGTCAATATCCAATTTTATAACATCTCTAATACCGGTATACATATTATATGATTACATAATCATATTTCCAACATTTATCTCTAAGGCCAACTATTATTTTGTTAATGGCCCCATTCTATGCTCATCTTTGTCTATAAGAATAATCCTTATTAAGGCCACCACCACTGTTCAGGCATTAACAACCCAGAATTGGTTCAGTCCCAATTCTAGGCAATATATTTAATTAATATACTTAAGCATCCCTCAAAGTAACATGCTATATACAGGAGTAACTTTCTATTGTTCCTTTCTCTTTATTTTCAGAGTGAAATCACAAAGGTATATCCAACGTATGTCCCAACATACGCACAAAAAATAATTTGAACCCTTCTCGGCGCATTATCTATAGCGATCCTGACACTACGCAAACCAGGTTTACATTAATGTCCGTCAAGGTAAACCAAATTAAAGCAAGATATAATATTTTAGCTGGCTTATTTGACTGGATAACATGCGCTGGCTTTATTACACTACCTAATACCTTCACTTCCCTTCAGAATTTGAGTACCCTTGCCGCGAACCCAGGCGGCCGAGTTATCCAATAAACCATTAAGAACCTTCCATTGCTACCATTAGCCGACATATTCTGCTTATTAGGTCTGGCCGGAATTTGCTTCCTATGGAGGACGCATCAAACGAACTATATATGGCTTATAAGTCACCTTTTTCTGTACATATCCCACACCTTAACACCTACCTAGGTACCTAAGGAAGTAAACATTTAACTAAGTTTTAGTTTATATAAATATTAATGATTCCTATAAGACCAGGTCTTTCTCACTTTTTCATTTATCTGCTATCAATTACTTAAACATCATTAATATATAAGGAAGACATCTTTTAATCACATTATTATACAGAACTATGCTATGTTTAACTATTATTTATTACTAGCTTCTTAATAAAATTATTTCTATACATGATGAATAAAGAGGCCATTTAATGATAATAAGAGATGACATTGTCATTAATAAGCTAAAGAACTTAGATATCTAATTATTTACCTACTCAGTAATCATAGAAATAAACCGATAATACCTATCTCCTTTCTTATTAAGATCCAGTATGTCTACTGAACGTACTGCATATCAATATCTACATACCTGGATATCCTAAATTCTATCCGGATATAAAATGAAAAGCATTACAGATTAATCTCCCAGGTGCAGTCGAGCCGTCCGCCTTCTAGCGAGCCAAAAAGCTCATTGAAGGCGTGTGGGGTGACGTCGATAGCATGACCAGCGCAGCCGCCGCAGCGATCGCGGATCGTGGCCGTAGTGGCCTTGCCATCGAGAGAGGTGATGGTGATGGTCTTGTCACAAAGCGGATGGGCTGGCTGGTTAAGACCGTACGATGTTGCCGTGCTGATGTTATCCCAGAACTGAGCGGGGATGGCCACTATGTTTGTCGTGTCGTCTTTACCGTCGTCCGGATATCCACAGGCGCCCAAGCCAGCGTTGTAATACGTGATCTCACCTGAGAATATCTCACCGTAGGGGATCCCATCGCTGGTGGTGGTGGTGGAGGGGCTATTTGTTGACCCCATCGTCACTCCTGATACCACATGGTGAGTATCAGTTGTGAGATCAATAGGGTTATTTGCCCCTACTTGCGAAGAGTTGGTTTGACGGGTGGTTGTGGGAGAGGACTGAGGATTATTCTCTGTGGGATTGGCGTCGATTGTGAGGGTGGCCGTCTCCCAGATAGTTTCCCACACCGTGATAAGTTCTCGGGCCTTATGGTGATGACGGTAGCGACCATGAGGATGAGTAGAGGCGACGGAGGCTAAGATGGCAACAATCGTCTTGGATTTCATCTGAGGCTGTATTATGCTACGCGACTAGATACAGAAAGGAGGACGGTGTATAAGGATGAACGTATTAATATCCTGTCAAGTTTCAAGATCATGCTGCCACAAAAATGGCCCTGTAACATTACCTAGGTACTCAGGTAGAGATGGGTGGTCGAAACATGGACCTGATGGAACCCAAAAGAGGTCTGCAACTAACACTCTACCTACCTAGGTACGTAGGTACCTTTTCATCAGGTCCTTATGGCTGTCATGGTGAGTCTCTCATTCCGGAACGCTTATATTGACTGTGTAAGTGTTTAAAATGACTGTATTCCGCACCTACCAAGCCACTCTTAGGATAGCATCGGGGATACTCGTGTAACAGTACAAACACTCGTATGTTTGCTTATATCTTTATGCAAAATTTCGTCTGTCCCACTAGCTACACCTCTAGTTGCACCTCTAGTTATCACTCCCAGCTACACTATGGCAGACCTTGACGGTAAGGCCTTGTTCGTCGACGACGATATCGACTTTGCTGCCCTCCTCGATGATATCAGTCTCACGAAGCTACCGGATGACCCTATTCCCGACCTCGCCGGCGACCCCGTTGCCACGTTAGAACATAAGGTGTGGAGCTCACCGGAGGATGCGCAGCACGAGACAATGAAAGCCACCCAGGCCGCCGGCTTTGCCGTAGCTACCCCAGGTAGCTAACCAGCACCTAATCCGAGGAGAGGGCCAAGCGCTACCAAAGGAGGACATGAAGAAACTAGAGGAACAGGACCTTTAGGTAGTCCTTAGGCGGGTGTGGAACAACAACAACGGTCAGCAGTGCCTGGCAGTGGGTGCGTACAGCACACTGG